AAAAGCACCAAGTTTTAGAGCTTCAACAAGAACATCACCTCCATTTTCCCTCTTCTCATTCTTACCAATCTTCCATAGAATTGAAACTGAAAACTCAGTTGCCAAATCTGAAACTCTCAGCAATTTCTTGACCAAAACAGGCACAGTTAGAGCATAACTATAAGCCCTTTTTCTTCCTTCTATAGAGCTGCAAATTCCATCCAAAACACCTAATGCCTTTTCACATATGCTCTTCTCACAATCAACAAGCATCTCTACCAGCAATTCAACTAACCCCACATCAGCAAATCTTGATTGAGCCTTCTTGTTGGCGAAAGACGACGAATGTGATGGATTAACCATGTGGTAGATTGCTAATAAAGAAGCTTTTGTAGTAGTAGGACAAATTGGCTCTTTCACAAGTTTTACTAAGCCTTCTAAAGCTCCTCCCATTCCCAACAAGATTTCAACCTTGTCATGTTCCTCCATTTTCAAGATATCTTTTAGCAAAAAAACTGCATTTCTTCTGCTTGATAAACTCCCATTATTCAAGAACCACACCATGCAACGTAACGATGAAATCGATCCAAGATTTGACTTGGACTCTCCATCCAGAGGCAATATAGTCTTCAAAGTTGACAAGATCACTTCCCCTGTTGAAGCATTTTTCATATTAATTTCCTCTGAAAATGCAACAAATGCAGCTGATAAAACCTGTGTAGTACCATTGGTAACAAAGCACCGTTTGTTCCTCTCACTTTCATTCACCAACTTCTTCACTTCGGACACTAATTCCTTGCACACCTCTGAGTCATGCATCTCTTTGCTTATTTTTGCATGTAGTTCAACAACCTCAGACGATGTCACAGGAATTCTTGGAGTTGGAATCCTTTCAATCCCATGATCCTTGTTCTCAACACACCATTGTTGGATCATTTTCCTTATGCTGTGATTTGGAATTGGTTCACCATTCCTCAATGTTTGATTTGTGATGGGACAAGTTTGATTCCCAGCCTCAATCCATTTCTCAATATTCTCTCTATCGTATGTGATCCCTGTTGACAATGTCACTGGATCTTTCATTAAGTCTAAGGAAATTGGACATGTGAAATGTCTAGGAATCACCAATTCTATGCTTGTTATATCCTCCATTAATCCTCTCTTTGCTACCCTTCTTTCTGTTCTCCTTTTCCTCCATGTTGAAATCATCATTTAATTGCAAAAATGAAATACTCAAAGAATCTTGAAATGAAAATAGTGAGTTGGGTTATTTTTTTGGTTTTCTTTTGTTTGTGATGGGATTCAAGTAGGTAAAGGGGTGGTGGTGTTATATATATATATATATATAAGTGCTGATTTAATCAATAGCATTTGTTTGATGTCACGCGGTTCAAACTTCAAGTTTGTTTAGTCCAATTATAAACTAAAGAAACGTTCAAGAACGTGGGAAGGAGGACTTGAATATTTGACCAAAATATGAAAGATTTGAATAGGTAAAAGGAACCCAAAGAATGGGGGCCAAAGATAGGGGGGCTTAGACTTGGGGGACTTGGGAATAGGAATTAATCAAAAGAGACTAAAACAAAAGTAATCAATGGGTTTGATTTTGACGAGAGAAATAGAAAAATGAATGCGTCAAAAGACGGGGTCGGTGGACTGACCTGACTGATTTGAGGAGACAATTTGGTAACGTTTTTTTGTTTGATCAATTTATTTCTTTCCCCAGCCCCTATAAGTTCTATTTATCACTTTTCACTCCACCTATTTTAAAAAAGTATTATATATATGACCTCCAGCTTTGGAGTTAAAAGTAATATTATCATGTTTTCCATCATATTATCGTGTCTTTTGAAAAAGTATTACTCCCTTCGTTTCATATTAGATGAGGTAGTTTGACTCGGCGCGGAGTTTAAGAAAAAAGAAGAAGACTTTTGAAACTTGTGGTCTTAAAAGCTTAAGGGGTAAACAGTTTGTGGGGCCATGATATTTGTGTGACTATAAAAGCTTCTCATTAAGGGTAAATGAATAAAATGAAAGAGTTTAAAGTTGAATTATTTCCAAATTTAGAAATGTGGCATTTGTTTTGGAACAAACTAAAAAGGAAAGTACCTCATCTAATATGAAACAGGAGGAGTGGTATTTTTATATCTTGTTAGAACTGATTTTATAGGGATTTTGTTACATAATTTTGCTCAACCCTTTTATAATGTTCACAACTGCAATCTATTAATCCCAACTCCTGCATCATTTTTATAACTCATGATTTTGTCACCCCCACCTTACTCTAATCGTCACTACCTTGTGATCTCTATTTCTTCTTTTTTATTTTGATATAATTAATATATTATTTTATTTATTTTTCTTTGCACTAGTTCCGAGGAGGAATACTTCTCTTCTTAAAGATTAAAAACTTTTTACTTCTCAACACTGAAATACTTTATACTTATGAAAGAGGAGTATTTGATGCTTATCTGTAATAAAATAAAATCCAGTTAAGCTATCCGAAGTAGAATTATTATTATTCAAGTGGTTATACATTAAAATAATTGATTTTCATATAATCTTAATAATTGAGTTATAGCATAAGCCTACAAAATTTGAGCGTCATTTGTTAAACATAAAAGGTAAAAGGACTAAACTGTACTAACTTTATTTACTTAATATATCTTTTTTGGAGTTGTTCGTCTTTATCATTTTGTTTACACGGACTCGTTTTGATAGGTAAATATGTTGAGTTTCTTTTTAATCTAGAAAGGTATTAAAAAGAGGGTGAATGGGAAATGGAGGGAAATAAAAAGTTTGAGTAAAATTTTAAGTTTTTCTCTCCTTTTAATGAGACATTGTCCCTCATTGGTAGAGGAAAAGGAGTTTGGTGGGTTTATATACAAATGCACTTCATGTAGCTCTTAAAGAGTTAGGAAGAAGGTAAGTCTCGCGTCGTCGTCGTCGCTCGGCTACGGCTACAGCTTTGGCATTTTTTGCACCAAATTTATTTGTTAATAGTAAAAGGTGGTGAGCAAATTGTTGAAACACACAGAAAAACGGACAGAAAACAGAAAGCAACGAGCAATCTGATTTCCTCTTCTGATATCGCTCAACATTGGCTATAAATTGCATTTCCTTCCTCTCAGAATTTCCATTCGACTTCTGAGTTCCCCTCCTTTCTTGTGCATTGCTTTAAACTACAAACAAAGCAACCGTAAGTGTGATTTGCTGCCG